GCTTTGTTATTGGGGATCGCAGGCCCGGGCTCTCCCAGTGACCAGTTCCTAATCAGACTGGCTTTATGGAGCCCCCACCCTCCGGAAGCGGCTTCTCAGCTTGGGGAATGTGTGTGTCACCTCTTGGAGTCCCGTGACTCCTTGGAGTCCACACACTCCTGTCCCTGGTAGCATTCTTACCATCTTCACTTGAATGATCCCTGGGCTCCTCATACTCAATGCGGCCCAAACTGGGCTGCACATCTCCCCTGGGGCCCATGGCCCTCCTTCCTCAGGAAGTGGCAGCTCCATCCTTCTAGGCACTTCAGCCAAAGCCTGGGCTCATCCTGGACTCCTCTCCTGTCACACCCATGCAGTCTAGCAGCAAATCCTGCCAACTCTACCTTCAAAATCATTCCCCTGTCCACTGTCCTCTCCCACCTCCTGTCACTTGTCTCCCTGGCTTCTCTGCTCTTGCCTGGCCCCCCTGCTTTTAACAAAGCAGCTCTTAATAGAGTCGCATCAGTCATTCCAGGCCCAGGGCTTCCAGCAGCCCTCACTATAGCCAGAATCCCTGCGTGATCTGGCTGTCACCACACTCACCCTTGCTCATTTCGCTCAGCAGCGGTGGCCTCCTGCTGTTCCTCACCTCCCTCCAGCTGGTCCTGCCTAGGTCCTTTGCGCCTGCTGTCCTGTCTGCCACCTGACATACTTTGCCTGCAGACATTCACGTGGCTGTCTCCATTGATCCACTCAGGTCTCAGCTCAAATGCCACTTCTCAGAGAAGCCTTGTGTGAGCATCCTGGCTAAAACGGGCTCTTTCACACCCCAGTCACTTCCTGTTCCACTTCCCTGCTTTCATTCATTTATTTCCTCATTGTACTTACCACATGCAGAAACCCACTGAATTGCTGTGGGTTTATGACGGGCCTCCCTGCATCAGAAGGTCAGTGCCAGCAGAATGGCCATGAAGCCTGTCTTATTTGCTAATAAACCTCAGCTCTAGAAGGAGCCCCGCACATAAGATGTGCTCAGTCGGTGCTGGCTGCCTGGCTGGCAGAGGCAGGCCTCCTTTCCTGGCTGTGCTGGCCACTGAGTGGCTATTGTCCTGGCCTTGCCCCTCCAGGCACAGGTCCTGTACTCTCAGGTCATGCTTGCCTCCCCTGCCCTAGCTCAGCCGGGAGGTGGGCAGCTGCTGGTGGCTTCCTCTAGAAACAGGGTGGCTCTCCCCTCTGCCTGCTTGCTCTTTGTCTGAAACTTTTAAGAAGTTTTTATTACTATTTTTAGGTCTGAAATCACAAACACTTAAAATACTAGAGATGTCACTCCATTGTCTTTTTATCCCTTTTAAAAAAAATTGGAAAATTTTAGCTAAGTGGCTGCAAATGGTAGCCTGGGGTTGGGGGCTGGAAGTGGGTGGAGAAGGAGCCCTTGTCCGTGACCCAGGCCATCAACCTCAGGGGGGCAGCCTGGCCCCCGAGCTATGGTGGGATGTGGGGACCGGTGATTTTGTAAGGGTGACAGTGGGGGAGGATGGGGACTTGTGAAAAGGTGGCATTTGAGTGGCCTGTAGAGGATGGTGAGGAGGGGCTGGGGAAACAGAGAGCCCTGCGAGAGTGTCGTTTGAAGGCCTTTGAGACGGGAGGGTCAGGCAGCTTCCACAGGGTATCTGGACCTTTCCTTGCTGGCCACCTGACTCGGCATGGTCTGGGGCCTCTGGTGTGTCAGGTCAGCTGCTCTGGGATTACACTGGTTTTGCAAAGAAAGAGTAGCAGTGGAGTGAGGAACAGCACTGAGGGGGCAGAGGAAGTGGAAGGCTGTTCATGGGGGAGAGTGGATGGAACTTGAGAGGTGCCAGGATGGGGGTGGGAGTATCCAGGATAATTCTGGAAATGGTGGTAACCTTTGCTGGGGCAGCTGAGGAGGTTGGCAAAATTTGCAATCCAAGGGCATCTTGGGAGGCTGTTCCTTAGCCCTGGCGGTTGCTGAGGGCTGTGGCAGGGGCTGTCTGCCTGCGCCAAGGCCTAGAAGACAGCCTGCTGCTGCCCAGCATCCACCTGATCATATCCGCTGGTTGTCAGCCGCGGGCTTCTGAGCGGAGGCTGGGAATTGGGCAGGATTTTAGGGGACAGAAACTGTTTGGGTGGTTATGTGTATGCATCCATGTGTGTGGGACTATGGCTGGGAGACCACAGCCCATGGCTGAGGTGGTCGGTGAGACAGTGTGTGTAACAGTGTGTGTAATTGGGGATTGCGGCTTGCGTGTGGGTGCCTGTCACGGAGGGTGTGGAGACCCAGAGTGCCCTAGGCTGCTGGATGCGTGTCCTAGAGAAGGAGGGCAGGCGAGTCTGTGAGTGAGTGTGACAGTGGTGAAGGAGGGCAGGCGTGTCTGTGAGTGTGACAGTGGTGAAGGAGGGCAGGCGTGTCTGAGTGTGAGTGTGACAGTGGTGAAGGAGGGCAGGCGTGTCTGAGTGTGAGTGTGACAGTGGTGAAGGAGGGCAGGCGTGTCTGAGTGTGAGTGTGACAGTGGTGAAGGAGGGCAGGCGTGTCTGAGTGTGAGTGTGACAGTGGTGAAGGAGGGCAGGCGTGTCTGAGTGTGAGTGTGACAGTGGTGAAGGAGGGCAGGCGTGTCTGAGTGTGAGTGTGACAGTGGTGAAGGAGGGCAGGCGTGTCTGAGTGTGAGTGTGACAGTGGTGAAGGAGGGCAGGCGTGTCTGAGTGTGAGTGTGACAGTGGTGAAGGAGGGCAGGCGTGTCTGAGTGTGAGTGTGACAGTGGTGAAGGAGGGCAGGCGTGTCTGAGTGTGAGTGTGACAGTGGTGAAGGAGGGCAGGCGTGTCTGAGTGTGAGTGTGACAGTGGTGAAGGAGGGCAGGCGTGTCTGAGTGTGAGTGTGACAGTGGTGAAGGAGGGCAGGCGTGTCTGAGTGTGAGTGTGACAGTGGTGAAGGAGGGCAGGCGTGTCTGAGTGTGAGTGTGACAGTGGTGAAGGAGGGCAGGCGTGTCTGAGTGTGAGTGTGACAGTGGTGAAGGAGGGCAGGCGTGTCTGAGTGTGAGTGTGACAGTGGTGAAGGAGGGCAGGCGTGTCTGAGTGTGAGTGTGACAGTGGTGAAGGAGGGCAGGCGTGTCTGAGTGTGAGTGTGACAGTGGTGAAGGAGGGCAGGCGTGTCTGAGTGTGAGTGTGACAGTGGTGAAGGAGGGCAGGCGTGTCTGAGTGTGAGTGTGACAGTGGTGAAGGAGGGCAGGCGTGTCTGAGTGTGAGTGTGACAGTGGTGAAGGAGGGCAGGCGTGTCTGAGTGTGAGTGTGACAGTGGTGAAGGAGGGCAGGCGTGTCTGAGTGTGAGTGTGACAGTGGTGAAGGAGGGCAGGCGTGTCTGAGTGTGAGTGTGACAGTGGTGAAGGAGGGCAGGCGTGTCTGAGTGTGAGTGTGACAGTGGTGAAGGAGGGCAGGCGTGTCTGAGTGTGAGTGTGACAGTGGTGAAGGAGGGCAGGCGTGTCTGAGTGTGAGTGTGACAGTGGTGAAGGAGGGCAGGCGTGTCTGAGTGTGAGTGTGACAGTGGTGAAGGAGGGCAGGCGTGTCTGAGTGTGAGTGTGACAGTGGTGAAGGAGGGCAGGCGTGTCTGAGTGTGAGTGTGACAGTGGTGAAGGAGGGCAGGCGTGTCTGAGTGTGAGTGTGACAGTGGTGAAGGAGGGCAGGCGTGTCTGAGTGTGAGTGTGACAGTGGTGAAGGAGGGCAGGCGTGTCTGAGTGTGAGTGTGACAGTGGTGAAGGAGGGCAGGCGTGTCTGAGTGTGAGTGTGACAGTGGTGAAGGAGGGCAGGCGTGTCTGAGTGTGAGTGTGACAGTGGTGAAGGAGGGCAGGCGTGTCTGAGTGTGAGTGTGACAGTGGTGAAGGAGGGCAGGCGTGTCTGAGTGTGAGTGTGACAGTGGTGAAGGAGGGCAGGCGTGTCTGAGTGTGAGTGTGACAGTGGTGAAGGAGGGCAGGCGTGTCTGAGTGTGAGTGTGACAGTGGTGAAGGAGGGCAGGCGTGTCTGAGTGTGAGTGTGACAGTGGTGAAGGAGGGCAGGCGTGTCTGAGTGTGAGTGTGACAGTGGTGAAGGAGGGCAGGCGTGTCTGAGTGTGAGTGTGACAGTGGTGAAGGAGGGCAGGCGTGTCTGAGTGTGAGTGTGACAGTGGTGAAGGAGGGCAGGCGTGTCTGAGTGTGAGTGTGACAGTGGTGAAGGAGGGCAGGCGTGTCTGAGTGTGAGTGTGACAGTGGTGAAGGAGGGCAGGCGTGTCTGAGTGTGAGTGTGACAGTGGTGAAGGAGGGCAGGCGTGTCTGAGTGTGAGTGTGACAGTGGTGAAGGAGGGCAGGCGTGTCTGAGTGTGAGTGTGACAGTGGTGAAGGAGGGCAGGCGTGTCTGAGTGTGAGTGTGACAGTGGTGAAGGAGGGCAGGCGTGTCTGAGTGTGAGTGTGACAGTGGTGAAGGAGGGCAGGCGTGTCTGAGTGTGAGTGTGACAGTGGTGAAGGAGGGCAGGCGTGTCTGAGTGTGAGTGTGACAGTGGTGAAGGAGGGCAGGCGTGTCTGAGTGTGAGTGTGACAGTGGTGAAGGAGGGCAGGCGTGTCTGAGTGTGAGTGTGACAGTGGTGAAGGAGGGCAGGCGTGTCTGAGTGTGAGTGTGACAGTGGTGAAGGAGGGCAGGCGTGTCTGAGTGTGACTGCGCAGGAGGGCTGGTATCTGAAAGCAGCTGATGCGGGGTCCGCGGCCTTGACCCGGCCGTGCTGTGTCTGCATAGCAGCACCTGTGGCGCCTGCGCGGCCGTGGAAACCCCCTTCTGTGACCCTTTTACACGTGTGGCAATGCCTTTGTGCCTTCAGACACAGGTGACCGCTATTGTGTGTGTAGAGACAAGTGCACAGGTGTGAGTGAAGGTGGCTGAGGCTCTGTCCAGGCATCCGGACTAGTTTTTATGTGCATCTGGGGGGCGCATGTGCATCATGTGTGGGCTGGTATGGTGCTGACAGGTGTCCTTTCTGATTCCCCCAGGACCTTGGAGAGGGGACCTTTGACTGGAAGTGGCAGCTGGGCTGACTGTGGGACCATGGTGATGTTCCGGGAGCCTGCAGGAGCCTGGTTGGCCCTGGCCCTGGCCCTGGGTGCAAGCACAGGTGCGGCAGCCCCACGGCAGGACTGCACGGGTGTCGAATGCCCGCCGCTGGAGAACTGCATTGAGGAGGCGCTGGAGCCGGGTGCCTGCTGTGCCACGTGTATGCAGCAGGGCTGTGCCTGCGAGGGCTACCAGTACTACGACTGTCTGCAGGGTGGCTTTGTGCGTGGCCGTGTGCCCGCAGGCCAGTCCTACTTCGTGGACTTTGGCAGCACTGAGTGTTCCTGCCCACCAGGTGGCGGCAAGATCAGCTGCCAGTTCATGCTGTGCCCTGAGCTCCCACCCAACTGCATTGAGGCCGTGGTGACAGCTGACAGCTGCCCGCAGTGTGGCCAGCTGGGCTGTGTCCACACCGGCCGCAAGTATGCTGCGGGCCACACGGTCCACCTGCCGCCGTGCCAGGCCTGCCACTGTCCTGACACTGGTGGTGAGCTCATCTGCTACCAGGTCCCCAGTTGCCATGGAGATTCCGAGGCCATGCCCACTGCCGCCACCGGGAACTTCTCAGATCCTGAAGAGAGTGACCCTGCGCGACACTATGAAGACCCCTACAGTTATGACCAAGAGGTGGCTGAAGCAGAAGTGGCAGCGGCTTTGGCAGGCGAGCTTCAGGCAGGTACAGGGGGCCCAGCCACCCTGGGAGGCAGAATTCAGCCGCTGTCTGCCACCACTACCACCCCCTGGGTGGCTGACCTCCTCATGCCAACAGCAGCTTCTGCCTTGGGCCCGCCAGCTCCTGTGCAGGCCAAAGCCAGGAGAGTGATGGAAGACAGACAAGGGCCAGGGGACACGGAGAGGGAGGAAATTGCTGCCAGAGGGCAGCTGGCAGCAGGTGGCCTCAGGGGACTCAATGGGCCTCCCAGTTCAGGCCCAGCCAGGCCCAGTCTCCCCGTCCAAGAGAAGAGGGCAGATACCAGAGCAGGGCCGGAAGAGAACCTTATCCCGGATGCCCAGGCCACCCCCCAAAACACTGGACAAGGGGGAACTGGCCCTGTGCTGGGATCAGACATGGCTAGTGTCCTCCAGTCTCAGGCCACATTCAGTTCTCCCAGAGACGCACCAAAGCCCAGCAGCCACACCATCCTGACCATACCTCCCCATGAGACCACCCAGGTCCTACCCATCCAGGAAGTGCCCAAGCCACCACTGGCTCTGCCCCATCTTCAGCCAGAGGAAGACACTGACCCCAACTCTGTCCATTCTGTCCCCAGAAGTGACTCTGAAGGTAAGTCTCTTTCCTAGTTCCTTCTTAGACGTAGTCCAGGGGAGGCAGCCTCAGGTCGTATCATTGCTGCAGGTCTCTGCACAGCTGCCTGGGACATTGAAGTTGGGTCTGTGGACCCCACACTTGAGGGCATGAACTTCGTAGATGCAGCTTTCTCTCTGGCTTAGCTCCTGGGGATGGAGTGGGTGGGTGGGGGTGAGGTCCCTGTTGCAATCAGTTCTGGGCTACATGCGTGGTATGGCTGTGGTCCAGGGCCCAGTAGGCATCCCTCATCAGGGTTGGGGGTGCATGAGGGGCTCTGCTTAGGTGCAGGTAGGGTCTGTAGGGTCCATAGTGCCCCAGCAGGAAGTGGGGAGTCTCAGAGACCCAGGGCAGCTGCCTTCTCACATCCTTCCAGGCATGGCTGCGACCTCGGTCTCTGAGGTGATAGCCGAGGAACTGCAGTCTCTCATGGGGGCTCTTTTTGAGAGTCTGCCTAGGTCTGCCACCTCTTCCCGTTGGTCCTGTTCACACAAGTTGTTCTAATCGCTCTGCTCTGCACGCTGCCCTGGCTTCCGCCTGCTCCGTGTAGAAGCCAGGGTCCTCTCGGGCCACAGGTCCTGCACAGCCTACCTTTGTGACTTCTTCGACCTTGTCTCCATCACCCCTGTCCTAGTCCATTTGGGCTGCTATTACAAAAATACCACAGTCTGGGCGACTAAATGACAGACACTTATTTCTCACAGTTCTGGAGCTGGGAATCCAAGATGAGTGTGGGCATCTGAGGGCCCACCTCCTGGCTTGTCCATGGTCAGCTTCTCGTGTGTCCTCATGCGGCAGAGCAGGCGAGGACACATCTCGGCTGAGGTACCAGTACAGGAGGAGCAGACTCTTTGGTGTTTTTTTTTAGAAAGCTGCTAATTCCATCATGAGGGCTCCACCCTCATCACCTAATCACCTCCCAAAAGCTTCATCTCCAAATACCATCCCGTTGGGGATTAGGGTTTTAACACAGGTTTGGGGTGGGAGATGAATTTCCAATTCATAGTAACCCTCCCCCTCACCCACTCTGCTCAGCCCCACTGGCCTCCTGTCTAGGCGCCGTGGCAGCCCCAGGGCACTTGCACCTGCCACTTGCTCTTTCTGATGTGTTCTCCAGGTGTCCACGCGGCTCACTCCTTTTCTCCATTCAGCTGTCTGTTCAAGGTCACCTCCCCAGAGAGGCTTTCCCTGGGCTCCCAGCTAAAAGAACGGCACTCCTTGCTCTTACCTTGATGCAATTTTTCCTAGTAGAATGTTAGTGCCGTGAGCAGAGGGACATAACTGCCATCTTTTCTGCTGTGTACAGAGCCTCCAGCAAGGCCTGGCACACAGTCAGTGCTCTGTAGATATTGAATGAATGAGTGACTTGTAGGGGCTCTGTGTCCACCCCCTCTGTCAGTTGTCCCTTCTCACCCTCGTCCCCTGCCCCCTTCCCATGCACCCTGCAGCAGTATCCCCCTCTGTGCCACATGTGTGTACACTGTTTCCACTAGCACAGGTGCACCTCCTTCAGGAATCCTTCCTTGAATCTTTATGTCTTGTCTGACCCTTCCTCCAGCTCCATTTTCTTTTTTTCCCTCGGAGGGTGTTCTGGGGACTTGTGTCATTGTCTAGAGATCTCTCCCCACAGCTGGGAGTCTGTGTCTTGTTCAGTCCCATGTCATTCACTCTACAATCCTTCATTAGGTATAAATAATGAGCAGGTTTTGGTGGGCCCTGGGGAGGCAGGAATGGACCACTATGGCCAGGCGCTGTGAGGGAGGGATGCCTGGGAGGTATCTTGGAAGACTTCTTGGAGGAGGGGACATGAGGGGATCCTAGGATTTCTGCAGCATTCCCATTGACCCACCCTGCTGCCCACAGCTGTGTGGCCTGGGCCCCAATTTCCCATCTGTTCTGTGCAAAGCCTGTGCACGTGCAGTGAGGGGTGAAACTGCAGGCTCCCCCAACCTGTAGGCCAGATGGTCCACAAGCCCACAGTGCTGTGCATCCAGCCTGCTTGCAGTGGGTGGGGCACACAGTTCACCCTCATGGAGGACCTATTGGGTGCCAGGCCCCGTTTCTGTGACTTGATCTTTTCCCCAACCATGGAGGTAAATTTCTTCTCATTTTAAAGTCAGAGAGGTGTTTCTAGTGGCTCCAGGTCACAGAATGAGAGGTGGTGGGCTGGGACCAAGGCATTGTGTTTTAGGGGCCTCCTTGCTACTGAGCCCAGAGCCTGTGGGAAGTGAGGCGTGTGTGTGGGGTATGGGGCACTGTAATGAGGTGCATGTGTGCTCAGAGGGCTTTTCTCCAGAGCCTGGCACATGCGGTGCGCTTGGGCTGCAGCCTCTGGGGTTTCCAAAACAGACACATCCCTGCCCCCTACCCCACCTCTTGCCACCAGAGGCCTTTCTGTGGTTCTGGGCTTTTGGAATCCTGGAGAATTTCTTTGTTCTCAGGAACCCTGGTTTTTGTTTTTGTTTTCTGCCCTGGGCTTTCTCAGTGGATTTTGGAGTGTGGCCTTTGACGAGGGCGGCTTGTGGGTAAGGCTCTCTGACTGACTGCCCCTGAAGACTGTCCTAGCAGAGGCCCCACACAGGCAAGGCCCAGAAATGAGAATGCTCAGGGCATGAGGGCCTGGACAGGCTGTTTCAGCTTCTGGTGTGCAGGGAAAGGAAGGTGTGGGAGGTTGGCATGTGTGTTGGGGAGTAGGTGGCTTTAAATGGGACCCAGGAGCTTGGCCCTGGCCTGATACCCAAGGGCGGGCCTGCCATCCACCACGCCCACATATCTTTTGTGCTCCTACTCACCCAGTGTCCACCGTCACCTGTGTAACTTAGGCAAATGGCTTATCTTTTTGTGCCTCAGTTTCTTCATCTTTAAGCAGCAGAGAAGTTCCTGCTTCATGGAGCTGGTTGTTTTTTTAATTCTTATCAAAGGATACTTTTTTCCATTGATTTTCTAGAGAGAGTAGGAGGGAGGGAGGGTGAGAGAGAGAGAGACAGACAGACAGACATCGATGTGAGAGAGGCACATCTATTGGTTGCTGCCCGCATGCGCTCCGACCGGGGCCGGGAATCGAACCTGCAACCCAGGTGTGTGTCCTTTTTATGTCCAGTGCTTGGCAGGGAACTTAGTACTTGCTGATTAGTTAAAATACTAGCTATTATTACTCAGTGTCCATTCTTCAGTCCACTCATTTCTTGAACAGATACTTAGGGAGTCGTCTGTCTGTGCAGGGCTGTGCAGGAGAGAGGCAGGCGCAGCTCGCCTCTTCTGAGGTCTCCTGGGGGAGGAGGCTCTGAATAGATGGGCACACAGATTTACCCATGGCCAGAACCAAGTGCATGGGGGGTGCGGTGGGAGGCCTGATGGGGGCTGGGTCAGGTGCCCAATTGAGCATCTTGGGAGGAGTGGGGGGCCTTAGAAGCCCCTGGCTGCTGTTGTGGGGGAGAGCTGGGGGGAAGGGTCCCCAGTGATGGAAGGACCCTTTGTGAAGAGGAGTTGGGAGGTGGCTTTGCCCTGCTTGCCTGGGGGCCTGCTGAGAGGCGGGCCATGGGCCGGAAATGACCCCCAGCCCTGTTGCCATGGCAGCTCTGGGGCCTGGAGAAGGAGGTTTCCAGCCATTGCCCTGGACCTGGCTAGGGCAGGGGTGGGGGGAAGGGGGGGTTCCTGTCTTTGAGCCGAAACCCTGCCAGGGATCCAGACTGCCTCTGAGCATGTCCAGATGTGGCCTAATGGAAGCCACATGCCTGGCTCTGTGGGCCAGGCAGAGGGGTATGTCTGTTGCCGTTTAGGGGGCTTTGTGAGGGGACTTCTATTGCTGGGCTGCCATGATGGAGGCTTGGCAAACACCCCAACCCCAACCTCTGCTGCCTCCCGGGCCACAGGGAAGGGATCCTGGAACAGGTGACCCTCAGGAAGGCAGTGGTTCTCAGAGCAGCTGGAGGCAGTCCCCCTTCTGGAAAAGGCTCCAGCGTAACCTCTACAGGCTCCCAGAGCCAGGCAGGAAAGAGGCCCCTTCCTCAGGGCCTCACTTAATCAGATTCTGCAGGGCAGGGGTCTCTGAGTGCTGTGATGCTCTGGTTAACAGAGAAGCTATTTAAATTCAAATAACTGTATGTTAATTGCAGATACCAAATAGTGCTCCTGCTCCTGCTGGGTACCTTTGTTAGCCCTGTGTGATTATTAACCCCTTTCATCCTCATAGCCACTCCCTTAGTTTGCAGAGGGGATTTAGGCCACTTGCCCACGGACACATGTCTAGGACATGGTGGGCCCAGGTTTCCCTCATATGCCTTCCTGTCTTTATCCCTGGCAGTTGATCCGGAGACCAGTGTAGACACAGACTGTGACAGATGACCAGAGTCCACATCATCTTGGCCTTCTGGAAGCTTATGGTTTATAGGGGAATAAAGAACCCAGTAGTCACTGGGTATGGAGTTTTTGTTCCCTGTGAGCTTGTGTGTGTGTGTGTGTGTGTGGCGGGGGCCGGGGGAGGTGCGTCTGATTCCTCCTGAAGATCAGGTAAGGCTTCCTAGGGAAAGTGATGTTTGAGCTGGAGGGGTTGTTGACTGGGTGATGGGTGGAAGCAGAGAGAAGAGAGTGCTCCAGACATAGGACGCAGGGTGTGCAAAGGCCCTGCACCTGAGGGAATTCATTGGATTAAAAGGAGGCTGTGTGGCTGGAAGCATCTGGGAGGAGCAGGGACCAGGCCATTGGGATGAAGATTTAGGGGTGTGGGGAGCCACTAGGTGTCGGGCCATAGGTATTACCTTCTGGGTGCAGGGAGGAGACTGCAGGAGCAGGTCTCTCCCTGCCTTACCCTACAGTCCCAGGAGCCAGCCCTGGGCCTTCCCAAGGTCTATGGGTCCCCAGGGCCCCCAGGAGTAGGGGAGAGGGACTCACCTAGACTCTGTTTCCTGGTAGACCCTGCCCTCTCCCCTCTAGTGTTGGTCTGTGGAAGACTAAGCTTGTGTAGGATCTGAAGAGCCCAT